CCAACTGCTAAGTTCTGTGAATCAGCCTCAGGGTTTTGGGTTCTAGAAGACTCTGGCCTTCTCCACGGAGGGAAGGTATACCTCTCTGCCCTCATGTCCAGAGAGATGAGCAGAAATCAGAAAGGGAGTGGGGCATGCCTAGCCAGGGCAGTAACATGGGCAAGGCTCCAAAGCCCAGGCGTGTGGGTCAAGAGAGATGCCTGCAGCAAAGAGAAGGGGGGAGAACCAGTGGTTCTGGCTGCATAGTAGCATCACCTGATGCCCTAGACCTCTAGAACCAGACTCCAGAGTGCCCCAGAGTTGAGAGTCCCTGGGTTGGATCATGAAGGGGCTCATGTACCATGTTCAGGACTGAGCTTCTATTCTCACAGGTGTGGAGGGAAGCCACTGAAGAATGCATGCTGGAGAATGCTCTGTGGACTTCCCATTAAAGATTCCTCGAGGGCAGTCATCCAAGAGGAATGGGAGGGAGAAGTCATGTGCTCTGAGGGAATCAGGTGGGGCACAAAATCTGAAAGGCCTGGGGACTGTCAGCTTGTGACCTCCGGGGAGACACTGGACAGGCTGTGGGTGACGCCCAGGTGTCTGGTCCAGGCAGAGCTCAGGCAAGGTTAGCTGGTAATGAGTGTTAAGGCCTTCTTCCCCGTTCTGTTAGCTGGCAGAGAACATGTGTGGGCATTTATGAGAGTTCGTTTTCTGCATGTTGTGAATATTAAGAAGATGTCTTTTCCCAAGGACACTTCTATAAGAAATGTAGACACCTGTAGGGGCGGGGGAGTCAAGCCACTTAGGAGAAATTGCAGGCTTTTGGGCACCTGCTATAAGAGGATAGCTTTTTATTTGGAATGTATAGTAAAAGCCAGCATGGTGATTCCCCGTGCCCTCTATCCCCAGGAAACCTTAGCCTCTCAGAAGTTTCTGAAGTAAGATTCCCACAGATCTAGCCAGGATGATGTATAAGGCAGCTCTTCTCAGAACAGGGTGATGGACTGAAAAAATTGTTTTTCTGTCCTAAAATTTTATTTTTCCCGAAGAACTTGCCAGTTACATGGTAATAATTTTCTTTAATAATACAATCCCTTTAAAAATTGTAGCAAAGTGTTATCATTTATTCTGATTGTAATTTTTAGGAGCTATTGCTGTATCCTGATTGTATATGTTAAGTCAGGGCCCAGAATCTCTTGAAAATGTTAACCTCCAGTTATGCTAAAACATGTCCTAAGAGTAAGAACAAGCTTAACTGTTTTCAAACCATATGCTAATACCAAATGTACACATAATCTGAAATTTATTGCACATCTTTGGCAAGCAAATCGTTTTAAAATGACATCTCATCAGTAGGATTTATTTTTTACTTAATCAGTACACAAATACTAACTTATTTTAACACAATATTTTACTTTAGATTTCTCATTTTTCCCAAACAGATCATCTAAACTCACCACTTTACAGACAGCTGTGTGCGAAGACAATACAGACAATTTCTGTTTTCCTGATTTAGTACATTGTAAGAAATAATGCTGATTTTAATTTGGAATTGGATAGTCTCAAACAGCTTGCGCTGTTCCTCGAGGGGAAAAGATAATTATAAACATTAAGGAAGGAGGTGTTAATTATTACCCATAATTATATAGCATAAACTATAGCATAAAAGTGGACTAAGGACGTTGTTAGAATAAAAAATTGTATTTTGATCAGCCTTGATTTAAACTATACTGATAAATAAAAATCCTTTTTTCCAAAGCATACACTGTGGAGGGAAAAATAGTTGAAATACCTGTTAATAGTTGCAATTTACAACATTGAATAGGAGATGACCTTTCTTTAGGCTTATCAAAGAATCTCTTCCATTTTGAATCACTGGGACTCAGGTGCTTACCCAGACTGAGAATTTTTTTTTTCGTGTGATAGCTTACCCACTTAAACCTATCCTGAGTTTGCCTAAAGAAACTGAAACCACGTGAACTATCCAGAATGAGCCTGATGTAATAAATGCATTTGCTGCTATGGGGCCTGGCCCTTGGATCTGAGTGCACGTGAATAGGTGCATGCTCCGGGCTTACCTTGGTCTGTGCTGTGGGCTGAAACATAGGCCCGGGAATCATAAGCCCATTTCTGCCAGTGCCAGGTGGTCATGACCCAGAAAAGGGTGAGCATTTTCTCCTGGTCACCTTCAGAGCATCTTCACTGTGCCATCTTTTTGGAATGAACAAAATGATAAAGTATGTCAAGTTGTAACACCTTCAAACTAACTTTCCAGCTAAAGGTAAGGACTTGAACTGGATGCCCAACAGTCAGAGGTACATAATTATGATAGCAAATACAGTAAACGGTGTTGAGCAGGTGCCAAAAACTATGTTAGTGAAAACCTAAAAATTTGATATGTTGGTCCAGAACCCTGCATAATCTTTACAAACCATTTGGTAAGACAGTGGATGGCATTCACCTAATTTGTCTTGCTTGAGTTGGCTTGGGAAGGCAGCATTTAATATTCCAGAGCATGCATGATCTTTGAACCCTTTACAAGGGTCTGTTTACATAGAGAAAATTAATGGACCAGTTATAATCTTCATTACGTTTCTTTAACACAGTTAACAATGTTAGCCCTGTTTGAGATATTATGTGTATTTGAAACTAAAGCAACTGAAATTTGTAATACTCTTAAATTCTTACCTTTCACAAATTCTAGCTATCATGACCTCATTTTAGCACACACGAGAATGGTTTTGATATATAAATGTAAAAATCGGAATTGGGGGGCTGTACTAGTTTCTTGTGATGCATTATTTTCTCCATAGTGATTAATTTATATTTATTCCATTAAATGTTTCCACTCCATACTGATTTAACACTTAGACTTTTGTACATTTCACAGAAACCAAGAAAAATGCCTTGTTGGTATACATACATAAAATTTCTGTTTGGCAAGCGGAGTTACCAAACTCTGGATGCAGAGAGCCCTCATTTAAATTATAAATTTTGTTACTACGTGTAGTGATGACATAACAGGATCCCCTGACATAACAGGGGAGAAAAACATTTGCATGTTTAATTCAGGGCATTTTGTTACAGTAGTGAAAATGAGAAAAGTCACCGCCGAGGTGTCGGGCATTGTATCTACTGGGCATCTCATTTCTCCATACCACACAATACAAGGATAACAGATCCCCATGAGACCTCTGTGACCTAAAACCCCTGAAGTCGGTTCTCAGACATTCAAAGTCATCAGTATGCCGTGCAGATTGAAAATTCGATAATCCATTGACAGCAGATGTATTAACTCTACACATAGAAACTCCTATTTCTCTGACCAGACAGGTAAGAGAACTGACCACAATTTCTCGACGGTCTTCTTAGAGGTAGTAAAATAGAATTTTCTTTGAAAAAAATTGTAGAAAGAAGACAGAAGGGATCCAAAAACTATGTACCATTGCAACATTAAAGAAGACGTTCAAAACTAACCACGTGGGTGCTTCGTCCGCACATCTGCAGGGGGTGACCACGTTTGAGGGGGTCAGCCACGTGTGGAGTGAATGACATGGGAAAAAAATCCGAAGGGAGGAGACCCTTCTCTTGAACAAAGAGCTGTGCTCACAGCCAGGTGGCAGTTACCCAGATGGGGCTCTCTCTGCCTTACACGCAGACGGAAGAAAGGGCCTGGTTAAGATGTCAGATACAAAGTACCAGCAAGCCACACGTTTTGCTCTAAAAGTTAGACACACACACACGCACACGTACAAAATCTCAGATCGTCAGACAGCTGAGTCTTGAGCGTTTCTCGCTCATCTTAACAAAGGGAATCAACATACAACGTTCAGGCTCGGGCAGATAATGCCAATACCTACTTCAACCAGACAAAGAAATCTCTTTAATCACTCTTCAGAGAAGAAAGTCAAGCGTGAACTTTGAACTAACAAAATATTACAGTTCTCACACTTGTTTATAAAATGCCAGTTTTAACATAAACATGATTTGGGCAGCGCGACAAATGTAAAACACACTGAGACATGTAATAAATAACTTCTCTATGCTCTTTATATAAATAAACACTCCCCTCCCCCACTACAAAGCTTAGTAAAAGGCAAAGGGAATTTCATCCCAGATATTCTGGGGGGTTTATACACAAAACGCACATGTTTTTAAAAGTTTCGAACTTTGGAGCCACTTTCTAGTTGTTCACTAACTGGCCTGTTCCCAACAGTCAGCCCTTAGCATTACAGGTAAAGAAATAAGCCTAGACTGTGCACTTACAGGTAGTTCAAGTCAGATTTGTTGCAACAAATACCAAAGACCCATCAGAATTCTATTGTTCCACTGGAACTTTGGTTGGATCAAGTATTGCTTGAATTAGGGGAGTCATTTACAAAGGGTTGGAGATGTATCTGTAGTGCAGAAAATTTAGACTTTTGATATTTACAGGGTTTCATATTCTCTCCTATAGTGTCTAGAACTTAATAATTTTATTTGAAGAAAAGAAAGTATAGAAAAAAAGCAAAATGAAGTCAAATTTATTTTTCATTGCTTTTGTCATTCAACAAGTAAGAAAAAATTAAACTGGTAAGATGACACATGTGCTTTTTTTTTTTTAATTTGCACAATGTCAACCAAATTCTTTATAGACTTTTAATCAGTGCAAGCTGAATTTGGTCTACCTGCTTAACGAGAAGAAATTTAATAAAAACTTTCATGTTTTCTCCTTTGGTTCCAGAAAATTAGACTCATTATAATATTTATTATTCTAGGACACCAGGAAAAATCAGGAAATTTATGTTTAAGGTCATTTTCCACTTTAACCTTTCTTTTCATTAAGTTCTAAAAATTTACTCCTGGCATTCTCAAAAATATACATCCCATCTCTTGATGAATCACATTCCTATAATAAAATTCTAAGTTAAAAGTCAGTTTCAGTTTCTTTTCAGCAGATGAAATATATATATTTTTTATATAAATATTTTCATTTAAAATTAAGATATTTGGCACAGAATCCTAAGCTTACAGTTTTCAAATGGTGTCTGTCCTGCTCTCCACTGATCAACGTGGAAGAATTTGGGAAGGAAATTGTGCTCTTCATGAACTTGTACCTTGTGTGTTTATCTTTCCCTCTGCCTCACGCCCAATGATCTAGCAGTATTCCAAGACTGTAGAAGATGAGAGAAAGGGTAGATTTATTTCTCCACATCAATGGGGATAAAGGGAGGGGATAAGAGAAGCAGCCCTGGGGATTTCTGAGTACAGAATCTTCCTGTTTAATTCATTCATGTTTTCCCACTAACAATACTGTGGTCATTTGTATCCTTTGCTATATCTCCAATGTGCACCCAGGGGCCTATATGCATGGCCTCATTTGTATTTAAACCCAGACATTTAGAGTCTTGTTCCAGTCCAGTTCTAAAGAGGATTTTTTCGGGGCGGGGGGCAGGAGGGGAAAAGCCAATAAAACCTCAGTTTAAGATGGAAATTCAAATATTAATCTTTAATGATTATATTCCACTTCTTATCTTTCTGCTGTACTTTTAAAAATTACTCATATGAGTAGAATCCATTTTTATATGAAGAATTTGAGTCACTATTGAGGGTGGAGAGGTAACAAATTACAGACTAGTGCAAAAAACAAACAAAAAAAATAGAACTCCTATATTCTCCAAAGTGCTTCCTGAATAAATTTCAAAACCTGAACTCTCACCAATTTGTTAAACATTGGAATACCATTTATATAAACTGTCTGCTTGGAGCCTCTGACCTGTTTTCAAAGTTCTAGAATGTTCTACAGAAAAATTCTAAAGCAGGTAGTCATAGATGGGCATGAAAGGGAATCTTCTGCATCCTCCTTCCAGTATTGCACAATATAAAACCTGCCAACAAGTTGTAAGCAGGTGCAGCCTGGTCTCGCCACATACAACATGAGGCCCACACGTTGGAATTTCATCAAAAGCTGCCACCAAGTCTGTCATACATCGTGTCACCCACACAGCCTTTCTCTTTGCACCATTCAAACACAAATGAGAGATGGAATCTCTAGGTCACCCTCAAATGTACGGTAGCATGAGGAACAAATTAAATCCAGATGACTCATTATTTCACGGGAATCTGCGCTCTGGGAGCCAGGCCTCCTCATCTGCCCAGACGTTCTGACTGCCTCCCCAGGCTGAGCTCACCAGGCATCCTTGCTCCATGCTGTGCTCTCCCTTTACCCACTGCTCATCAGCTCAGGATGGGGAAACACCTTGACTCCAAGCAGATGGTCCACCATCCTCCTTTATGCCTTGGAAAGATGTGGAGCATTTTTAGCGCCCTTTGCTTAAAAACTGATTACAGATATACATAGGGTTTCCATAAATAAAATTTGAGGCATGTATGTATATATTAAAATTTTCACCAACACGGGTGTGTTCAAAATTTCAAGTTCTGTCATTCAAGTTCAATAAAGGCACACAATTTTTTTTCTTTAGGCTTGCAAAGAATACAACTGCTGGCGAGAAGTCATAAAAGGCATTTTATGGGGCTTTTTTCTTGGATTTTCCTCTTCTTGGGTTAAGCATTCATCCCGTCAATCAATGGCATGACTCTACTACCCAAAGAAAGTATTTAGATGCATAGAGGGTATTAAATGGATCCCACTGTTGTGTCAGGTTTCAAAGTAACAAGCCCCAGCCATGCCGGGTCAGTCACCCCAGGCCTGCTTTGGCCATTTCCATTAAGGCTTCTCACTTCCAAATCGGGCTTTCCGGTTGCCGGGTTCCGATGCCCTTCGGACCAGCCTGGGTGGCGGCTTGGGTCGGATGCCTTCAGTCCCACGGTCTTCCTGCACTGGGCCAAATTGGCCTTTGGAGAGAAGGGGCTGCCGCAGCATGCCTGGGGTTGGGGTGCCTCCCTCTTTGCTGTGGGGAGCTGGAGGGGTACAAGGCTGCCCCTGTCCAGAATCAACGTCAACCTCGTTCTTCCATTCCATCTTATAGGGCTGTGGGGCTTTCTTTGAGAACTGTTCTGGCAAGAAGCACCTTGCTCGGGGCTGCAAATTGAGGACGGTGGTCCCAGCATCTGTCTCTGAGTCGCTGCTATTGCCGCCTACCACAGAGCAAAAGAAGGACAACATGGCAAGCATTTTAGAGAGAAGGGACTGTAGGTGACTCAGCAGTGCACGAGTGGGTCCAGCACCTGCTGTGCCCTCGGGCCCTGGGGGCTGGGCGGTGGGGGGCGGTCAGAGGGCTCACTACCTCTAGCCCCCAGACCTGGGCATGAGGCATGATCTCTGTGGGCCTTACTGTTGAACGCTCACACCCACGGTGAAGGGAGTACTGTCATGATAATAAGCACTTTTAAATGCATTCACCTATTTAATCCTCACAATCACCCATTTGCCAGGGGAAGTCACTGAAGTTCAAGAGGCGTTAGTTGAGTGGTGGAGCTGGCTAGCAAAGTGAGTGTCCCAGGCGGCAGCAGCCCTGGGTTCCCACCTGCCCCAGCAGAATGCTCCCAGGAGGGCTCAGCTCTGTGACTGGCACACAGAAAGAGCAGCAATTAGCTGCTATTAATGAAAACTCGTGACTTGATCTGGAATCTCAGAGACAACCTTCTTTATCTCCTTTTTATTTTCATAAAAGAGCCGAAATACCAATGTGCACTTTCCAAACAATGGGATCATTGATGGGACACAGGATCAGAACTAGCTGGTTGTCAAAATTCAGGTTCTAGAGAACGGTGGGGAGGACAGCTGGTGGGAGCTGGGATTCTTGGGATGAAAGCATGCTCTGGTGGATGCGCGGTGGTGACATGGCCCTGCCCTAAGTACTCAGTGCTGCTCGGCCTCCCTTCTCATTTCTCATCTCACCCATCATCACCACCAGCCATCACCAGACTTTCCTCTTCTTGGTTAATTAAATAAACAACCAAAAATAAAGGGGGGGTACTCTTACATCCCACATTTTACTAACATGGTATCCCAATATACTTCTTCTGGGCTTCACAGAAAATGGCTTGGAGACTACATTAAGATTATCATTAAATCAAGAGATATTAGACTTTATATGCCAAAGCTTTAATGATTTGGGGCAGAAGTAAAATTTATGGCTGCCTATATGAAAATTGTAAAAATTTAAATATACCTTTGCAAATTTACAACTTTCTGTTTACCTGTTCACTAACCACAGGTAACAGCATTTGCTTGTGCTATATCCAGTAGAATTATTATGGAAAATAATGGACTCAGTTACTTTTAATATGTACAGAAGCTCCATCCAAAAAGCTTATGATGCTAATAATAAGTCACCATAGTCTTATTTTAGACTTGCAAATCATTAACCTCATTATCCTTAATGAAGACAAAGAATGGGGAAATTCTGTTTTATGAACATTAGTAGATAAATTTACTCATTCTGTGCCAACTGAATTCATTACCTGCATTAGACATATTCTTTTTCTTTTGTAGCTTTTCTGGAAGCTTTGTGTTTTTTGGTAAGGACAAATATCGAGAGGTTGAAGTGGAAGCCTGTGGAAAACATGGAAAATCTTATTTAGACTATGTAGATGTCATTTATTGTATATCAAAAATTTAAAATCTTATGTCAAACCCTGATGTTAAAAATTAAAATCGTACTTCTCTGTTCCAAAATTACTTTGTGAGGAGCTGTGGGGATGGTGAGTAAAGCTCCATGCAATAATTATTTCACTTAAAACAACTAAATCTCTTCTAAAATGTAATAGAAATCAGTATTAAGGAAAATGAAAATAAAGTGGGACCATTAGAAAGAAGAATAATGAAATAATAATGAAAACCACTGAGTCTTCTTAAAGAGAAGCTATAAAGACACCTATTTATAAGAGTATTACTAAAAAAGAAGTAGGACCTATACATATAAAAAGAAAATATGTGAAAAATGTAGCATATTTAAGTTTTAATTACTTTAGTGAGTCTCGAAAAATAAAGAATGAAAAGTATTACCAAAGCTAATTGGCTGACAATTCAAATGCCACAATCTCTACGTTAACTCTTCATCAGTTCTGCCACATTTTCACATTAAAAAAAAAAAATCTTCTTGTTCACATATTACCATTTTGGTCTCTGACGACCCAATACAGAATATTATTAAAAATGAGATGCAATCCAGGAACGCCTGTGTGGCTTAAGTGAGTTAAGCGTCTGCCTTCGACTCAGGTCATGATCCCGGAGTCCTGGCATCGGGCTCTTTACTCAGCGGGGAGCCTGCTTCCCCCTCTGCCTGCCCCTCCCCCTGCTTGTGCTCTTTCTCTCTCTCTCTCTCAAATAAATATATAAAAATCTTTTAAAAATAAATAAATAAAAATGAGATGCAATCTAAAACTAACGCAGACTTGTGTGTCAATTATACTCAAAAAAATAATACTAAGATGCAATGTCTGCTGTGTGAAATCAATCAATCGTAATGTCATTTAAAAATGATTTTCCTTGTCTGTTGACAGTGCCCTGTGCCAAGTGAAAAGGTGGACACTCGCACGCCCCAGCTGCTGTGATTCTACAGTTCCAGCACAAGCAGCTTGCCCATCTCTGGGCTGCAACCTCTCCCTGGGGAGATCAAATTAGACTTTCCAAATGTAGCTTGGTCCAGCCATGCTGTTCAGATTTATAACTTGACTGACCCTTTCCTGTCCTCCCAGTCTCCCTCCTCAAGCACTGTTTTTCTCCACAGCACTCACTGCCTACTAACGTAACAGATAACGCATTCCATTGCTGGGCACCTTCTCCCCACTAGAATATGAATTCTACAAGCAAAGGTATCTTGGTCTGTTTCGTTCACCAACATATTTCAAGTGCCTACAACAGTGCCTGGAACACAACAGATGTTCTAGAAACATCTAGAAAGACTTTACACTTTGCGTCCCAGAATTCCCATGAATCAACCCTCAGTGCCCATTCTGTCAGTAGGGCCTCCAGAATGGCTGTTGACTCTACTCTTGGAAGCCTTCCTCGTCCCAGACAAACGGTAACAAACAGCAGTTACCCTGCGTTCCTGGTTCAAGCTGCTGTCTTTCCTGATACTTTCTCGCAAACTGTGCCTCCGTCTGATTAGAATCTCCTTGGCTTGTCGCTCACTTGTGTCGGCCGTCAGATTGTGTCTGTTGTAGGACAAAGTCTGAAATGAGAACACAAGAGACCTTTTACAAGAACTGATTGCTACCCTAGAGATCCCAAAATGTTACTATGTTGCTTTGGCTTTGCACCTGAGTGAGGCACTTAACGAATGTGCAGAGCAGAAAAATAAATCAATAGAAAGCATAAAAGTTAACATGCGGGAAAAAAAAAAAAGTTGACATTCATTCCAGGTTTGAAAGCACTTGTCTTCTAATAAAAGTCTGTAAGTTATTTTTCACTGCAAAGTGTGATCTTCATAAATCGAAAGAATGATAGAATTTATCAAGTACTTCTATCTACCTTGAACTACTTTGTATGTATTTAGCCATCATTAACAGCTGGGGAAAAAATACAATTCATCTTTATACATTCTCTACTGAATAGGAATTACTGAATAGGTGTAAAAACAAACCACTTTGAGCCACTTGGTGGTGCCATGTCCTTTTGATTAAGTTAAGAACACTTCTTTTCAACTGGGTTGTCAAACTGGAAAAAGCTGCTGCTAGAATCAGCAATAACCACATGCTAGTACTTGAAGCAGTAAAATTTCTAAACCAGGGCTGCGCATGGCATACATTTTTAGTTTTATAAGTTTCCTAAAATGAATTGCAATTAGTAATCAAGTTCATTTTCTGATAGAATAAATACATATTTTTCTAGGAAGGCAGGGAGCCTTCGGCTCAGGTCATGATCCTAGGGTTCTGGGATGGAGCCCCGCATTGGGCTCCCTGCTTGACGGAAGCCTGCTTCTCCCTCTCCCACTCCCCCTGCTTGTGTTCCCTCTCTTGCTGTCTCTCTGTCAAATAAATAAATGAAATCTTAAAAAAAAAAAAAAAAAAGGTGCTGTAGGGAAAAAGGCGGAACAACAGTAATGAGTAATGGAATGAGGACAGCCTTTGGGGAGACCAGCAAGAAGGGACAGAAATGACCCCAACAGTAGTGAGGAAGTCTCCTGACATCCTATGTGGACTGTGTGACACCTCCCCCCTCACTGTACCTTAATTTATTCATCTATAAAATGGAAACAATAGCAACACCACTTGGAGGATTGAGTTAATACATGTTGCAGTGGGGCATGGCCAACTGTATGCACCCTCAAAATGTTAGCTATATTATTAGCCAATTGGTAGAATGAAGTGTTAACAATGGAACAGCAGGGACGCCTGGGTGGCTCAGTCGGTTAAGCAGCTGCCTTTGGCTCAGCTCATGATCCCAGGGTCCTGGGATTGAGCCCCACATCGGGCTCCCGGCTCAGAGGGGAGTCTGCTTCTCCCTCTGCCTCTGCCTCTGCCCCCAGCTTGTGCTCTCCCTTTCTCTCTCACTCTCAAATAAATAAATAAAATCTCTATTAAAAACAAAAACAAAAACAATGGAACAGCAGTGAAAGAAGTCACTCAGGAGATACATTAAAGGAAGAAACTATAGCACTTTACGAATAACAAGAAAGATTAAATACATTTTAATAAGTTTTCTATAAGCTATAAAGCAATTTCATTAAAATAATTAAAAGAGAGCCACAATTAGTTAACTCAGATGCTTTTATCTCCATAGTAGCAGAACTCCTGGGAGACTCCAGGCTTTCCCCATGGTGTCCGAGAGGGAGTGGTACCCTAACAAGATAGGACTCTCAGAGAAGAGAAGATGCCTGATGTAGGACATGCAAAAGGTAGCCATAATGGTTGGGCGACCTCTGCTACAACTGAGTAGCATGAAATCAGAAGGCATATTTTTAGCCAAAGGCAAGGAAACATTTTGCTAAATAAATTATTCTCACTCGCTGACGGATTTGATAGAGATTTCTGGATAATATTTCTCGAATTTCATCCATTTCACCAGGTGTGAGCTTCCTTATTTTTTCTTCACGACAATCACTGTGAAAGGTTAGAAAAAGAATATCTTTTACTATTCAACAAGCACTGGAATCCTAAATTTTCCTTTTTGGAGATATAGTATCATTTAAGAAGAATATCATTTAAGATTAAGAATCTTAGCTTAAAGAATAACACTTAAGGAGTATTCAATATTTTAAAATAACTCAAACTTCTAAAACTCTTCAGTGTTAAAATTATTCAAAATGAGTTTAGTCATGCACAGGTTTTCAGAGTCTGTTCATGCAATTATTTTTTTTCTACACAAGTATTCTTTAAGGAAGAAAAACTGTAGTAGCTTATAATGCTATCATTTTATTATTATTAATACTCTATTAATAAGGTAATACACAGGGTGCCTGGGTGGCTCAGTTGGTTAAGCAACTGCCTTTGGCTCAGGTCATGATCCTGGAGTCCCGGGATCGAGTCCCGCATCGGGCTCCCTGCTCAGCGGGGAGTCTACTTCTCCCTCTGACCCTCCCCCGTCTCATGCTCTCTCTCTCTCTAATTCTCTTTCTCTCAAATAAATAAAAAAAATCTTTAAAAAAAAAAAAAAGGTAATACACAATTGGGTTTTTTCCCAACAGAAACTTAATTACCTACATTTTGCTAATTATTAAGTCCTAGTCTTTTAAACACTTCATTAAAAATATTTTCAAAGACATCATTTATAATATGTATGTATATACAGTCAATCACCATTATTCAAGGATTTCATATTTGCAAAGTCACCTACTCGCTAAAATTTATTTGTAAACACGGTGCCAATACTCATGACACTTTTTCATAGACATGCGCAAAGTCGGGGAAAATTTGAGTTCCCCAACGCACAGGTTCCTAGATGAGGCTGAACATGGCGATGCCATGCCTTCTTGTTTCAGCTCCTGTACTGTAAACAAACGTCCTTTCCATGGTCTATTTAATGACATATTTTTCATATTTTTGTGCTTTCTGTTTGGTGACTTCACTTTAAAATGGCGCCACGCATGGGTCTGAAGTGATGTCGAATGTTCCTGAGCAAAAGAAAGCTGTGATGTGCCTTCCAAAGAAAAGTCATGTCAGATGAGCTTTGTTCAAGCATGAGTTACGGTGCTGTTGGCCAGGAGCGGAGTGTTAATGAAACAACATATATTAAATAAGGTGTCTTCAAATAGAAACATACATAAAACAAGGTTATGTATCGAATGGTTAATGAAAATGTTGTGACCAGAAGCTCACAAGAACCTAATCCTGCATTTCCCCTAGGAGTAAGGGTTCGGTATTCCCAAATCCGTGTTCATGACAATTTTATAAAACATAACTACTGCCCAGACGAACCATGAGAGACGATGGATTCTGAAAAACAAACTGAGGGTTCTAGAGAAAGGGGGGTGGGAGGATGGGTTAGCCTGGTGATGGGTATTAAAGAGGGCACGTTCTGCATGGAGCACTGGGTGTTATACGCAAACAATGAATCATGGAACACTACATCTAAAACTAATGATGTAATGTATGGGGATTAACATAAGAATAAAAAAATTAAAAAAAATAAAGAGAAAATCTTAAAAAAAAAAAAAAACATAACTACTGCCCACAATGAGAACCAACTGTACTGATAGGGTTTTATTCCAACTCCTTCAAAAAGGCTTTGAGGGGGCCTACAAAAATATTTAGTACAATAAAATACATAGATAAGATAAATTAAAGCTGAGAAGGCTAATACACATTAATGCAGGTCTTACAGAAGATGGGCTAGGGACACACCAATTGAAGAGCATAGTTCTATTACTTATTTTTAATGCAAACTTGTTACTGAAAAACAAGCATAATATTAATTACCTATGCCCAAAGGGTAATGGAGAAACACAAAGGAATGAACGCAGAAATCTAAGGCTTCAGCAGAACAGACTTCTCTAGATATAAAGGATCCATTTTTGTCTCAACCTCAATTGCTCGGATGAGTTTTTAAGAAGCATCTTCTTAGACTGAGGCATTGTTGTTTAGACAGCTGTCTGAGTTTCTAATCAGGTTTTTTGATCAGCAAAGTTAATTCACAGAATTTTAGAAGGACTTATAAGGTCAAGAGGTAACAATCTTTTGGGGATCTGATATTCTTATCTTATCCAACAAATGTTTGTATAACTCTAGAGATAAGTGCACAACTACCTCCCTTGTTTATGCTTAAAATATATTTTATTGGGATATGATTCAAAAGAGAAAAGCACGTGACTCTTACACGTACGGCTCAATAACTATCACAACTGAATGTACTTGTATAACCATTACCCAAGTCAAAAAACAGAACGTGAACTAAAACCCCAGAAACCACATCATATTCCACCCCCCAACAATCACTACTTAACTCCCTCTTTGACAAAACAACCACTATCCTAACTTCTGAGTTGACAGAATAGTTGCACCTGAACTTAAACTCTATATAAATGGAGTCTTACCTATATAAATGGAGTGTACCTACTACCACAATAGGTAGTCAGTTATTGATTGATTGATTGATTTGATTTACAATAGGTAGTCTTTTATTTATTTTTTATTTTATTTTTTTTAAAGATTTTATTTTTTTTATTTATTCATGAGAGGCAGAGAGAGAGACAGAGGCAGAGGGAGAAGCAGGCTCCCCGTGGAGCAGGGAGCCCGATGCGGGACTCGATCCCAGGACCCTGGGATCATGACCTGAGCCGAAGGCAGACGCTTAACCGACTGAGCCACCCAGGCGTCCCATACAATAGGTAGTCTTTTAAATTTAGCTTCTTTTGCTTAGCATTGTGTTGGAGATTCATCTGTGTTACCTCACGTAGCTGTGGTTTGTTCATTTTATTCATTGTATAATATCCCACTACATGAATATATAACAATTTATCCATTTTACTCTTGATGGGTATTTGCCTTATTTCTGAATTTTGGATATGACAAACAATGCTTTTATGAGTATTCTCATATATATATTTTTGAACACATATGATTATTGATTATTGACCATTTGGATACCCTATTTTGTAAACTGCCTAAACAAGTCTCTTGTCCATTTTCCCATGGGACTATCTTTTTTTTTTTTAGACCTTTCTCAGTTTTATGTGAGGCAAGTATCTTCTTCCATTTTATGGCTTGCCTTTTCATTCCTTTAATGAAATATTTTCCTATCACAACAGTAACAGGATATTCTCTCATATAATTTTCAAAAGCTTTATTGTTTCCCCACTCCCATACATACCTATGATACTCCCTGGCTTGATATAATGTGAAGTACTGTTCAATTTCACTTTATCTCCATATGGATCCCTAATTGCCCCAGGGCCATTTTTTTAAGGCCATCTTTTCCCTACTGCTTTGTAATGTAAACTTTGTCATTAATAAGTATCCATACATGTGTGGGTCTATTCCAAACTCCTACTTTGTTCCACTGGTCTATTTGTCCTTTTGTCTTTGTTCAGTATCACATTGTCTCAATCATGGGAGCTTTACAGAAAGTCTTGCTACCTAACAGTATAAATCCTCTAAATTTGTTGTTCAGTTTTGAAGACAATTTGTCTTGGTTAATTTGGGCCCTTTATATTTCCATAGAAATTTTAGGACCAGACTGTCTAATGACACACCCACACACAAACACATTGGGATTTTTAATGGAATTGCTTTGAATCCGTAGATTAATTTGAGAAGAATTAAAAATCTTATAATATTGAGTCTTTCTTTTTAGTAATACAGTCTTTATCTGTTTTGGACTTTCTGTGGAGAGGTTTCACACATATTCTCTAAATTTCATTTTGATGTTTGATATTGATGTATATGCCTCATAATATTATTGTAAATTAAGCATTTTTTAAATGTCACTTTCTATTTGTTAATACTTATGAAAATTACCCACTGATTTTTTTTTTACCATGTATTAAGAAACCTGGATAAATTTACTTATTATGTCTAATTATTTATCTGTAGGTTCTTTTGGATTTTCTGTGAAAACAATCAAGCTGTTTGGGAATAATGAAAGCTTTACTTCTTTCCCTATCCTTAATCTTTAATTTTTTTTTTTTTTGCTTAGCATTGGTAAAATATTCATAGAAATAGTAATAATAGGCATCTGTGTTCCAGATCTTAGTATAAACCTTTCAACATTTCAACATTAAAAATACTATTTGCCGTAGATTATTTGTGAATAAACTTTATCAGCTTGAGAAAGGATTTCTTCTATTCTTAGTCTATTTAGATTTTTTTTAAAAAAATCAAGACTAGAAGGGCACCTGGCTGGCTCAGTTGGTTAAGTATCCGACTCTTGATTTTGGCTCAGGTCATGATCTCAGGGTTGTGAGATCATGCCCCGTGTCAGGCTCTGAGCTCCATGCAGAGTCTGCTTTGCCCTCTCCCTCTGTTCCTCCCCCTGCTTGTGTGCTCTCTCTCTCTCTCTCTCATAAATAAATAAATAAAATCTTTTTAAAAAATCAAGAATAGATATTCAATTTTATCATATAATTTCTCTGCCTCTATTACAGATAAATAATAACCTTTGATTTTTCTTCCTTTATTCTGTAAAAGTGGCAAATAACTGATTTTTTACTTTTAAGCTACCCTTATATTCCTGGAATAAGTCAAAATTATTGTGATGTATATCTTTTTTACATATCTCTGGACTTGGTTTGCTAATATTATGTTTATAATTTTTACAGAAATATTATAATCTTCCTTCTGTATAAGTGTCTTTGTCAGGCTCAATACCAAAATTATGCTAGTCGCATAAAGTAATTTGGGAAGATTTCCATCTTTTCTTACTTTCTGAAGAAGTCTGTGCAAGATTGGTTTTATCTCCTCCTTAAATGTTTGGTAGAATTTACAAATAAAGCCATATGGTCTTGGGGTTTACTCTGTGGAGATATTTCAATTACAGATTTATTTACTTAATACTTAGAGTACTATTCAAACTTTCTGGTCTTTTATGGGTTTAATTTGTTGTTCCTTTTTCTAATTTCCTAGCATGGATTATTGATTTTCAGCCTGACTTTAACATTTTCATTAAAGGTTAAAAAAATTTCCCTTTAAACAATGCTTTACACAAGTTTTCATATGTCGCATTTTTCAAAATATTTTCTGATTTACATCATAATTTGTTTGATCCAGTTTTTATTCAACTTCTAAATAGAGGGATATTTGACTTTTTATACTGTTTTATATTTTATTTTGTTTTTGATTCCCTTCTGGTAAGGGAACATGCCCTATATGAAACTTTTAAAGACTTGATTGTTTATTATGTGGTTGAAATCTGTATCTTTACTGAAAGTCTATCTGCTTGTACTATCAGTTTATAGGAGAAGAGCAATACAATAATCCACTATGATTAGGAGTTTGTGTATTTCTACTTGTGGCTCTGTCAAGTTTTGGTTTATATATTTTGAGGCTATGTTATTATTTGTATGCTAATTTAGACTTTTATATCTTCTTTCAGAATTAAACCTTTTATCATTATGAAATGAATCTCTTTATGCCTAGCAATATTTTCCTCATAATGTTTACATTTTATGATAATAATTACACAAACTTTCTTTTGTTTAGTGCTTCAACAAAATATCTTTTTTTTTTTTTAAAGATTTTATTTATTTGACAGAGAGAGACCCACAGTGAGAGCGGGAACACAAGCAGGGGAGTGGGAGAGGGAGAAGCAGGCTTCCCGTGGAGCAGAGAGCCCGATGCGGGGCTCGATCCCAGGACCCTGAGATCATGACCTGAGCCGAAGGCAGACGCTTAACGACTGAGCCACCCAGGCGCCCAACAAAATATCTTTTTATCAACCTTTCACCTGTAAACTTTCTGTACTATCTCTTATAGATGGAAGTACTATCTCTTATAAGCAACATCTAGTGAGTTGTATATTTTCATCCATTCTGATTATCCATCCTTTTAAATGGAATAAATTTATATTTAATGCAATTACCTTTGGGTTCAAAACTATCATCTTACTATTTTCATTCTATTTGTTCTATAATTGTTTTTTCTACTTTGTTGCCTTTTTAAATTTTATTGTATTTTGCTTTTTATTTCCCTATTCTGTTAGCTTGTTACATTCTTCTACTGTTTTTTAGTGGTTACCTGGGATTACAACATTAGAATACAACAACGCCAGTCACCTCCCTCCAATTTATAAGCTATTTTTGTTGTTAATTTTAATTCTATTTACATTCAAAACCCCACAGACATTATTATTTTATGCAATTACTATTCATTTAGGTTTTACAAATATTCATCACTTCCATTATTTTAATTCCTTCCTTAATCTCCAAGCTTCTCTTCGAGACTCTTCCTTCTTCTGTCTGAAACTTTTTATCATTCAATTTAGTATGATGGTTTTTTTTTATCTGAAAATACTTTTATTCTACTTTTTTTTAATAATATTTTAGCAGGATATGAACCCTAAGTCATCAGTCACTTTCTTTCAGAATCTGGACGATACCAATGGTTTCCATGGCTTTTGTTGCAAAGGGTTTTTTTTTTTCTCTCTTTTGAAGAAAATAGGGTCTCTTCTTTCCTCTGATTATGTTTAAAATTTTCTCTTTGTGTTTTTGACTTGTAGCAGTTTTACTAGCATTTGGTTTTGGTTTTCTTCTTGTTTAATCTGCTTAGGGCTTGTCATAGTTCATGTCTTTTATCTAATTGGGGAAATGCTCAGTCATGATCTCTTAAAATACTATTCCTACTAATTTACCTCTCATTTCCTTTCGGAACTTTTCACAATATCCCATATATTTCTTATTTTGTTTTCCATATTTTCCAATGTTTTTTTTTTCACTCTATTCTTCATTCTGATTATTCTTTCTTTCCTATCTTCCAACCAATCGATCGATTCTCTCTACAGCTGTGTCTAATCTACTTGTACACTATCAAATGAGATCCTAAATTTAGTTAATTTTTAGCTCAACTATTCCATTTAGATCTTTTTTATTTATATCATCTCTATGACAATGTCAAAAGTGTTGATGCCATTTTCCTTCCTTAAACATACTTTTAATTTTAAAGCCCCTAACTCAACTATCTGAAACCCACTTGTGTCTGTTACTAAGGTTTTTGTTTATCTTTTTCTCAAAGTTTCCAATAACATTTCCTTGTCTACTCATATGCTTTTGACATTATATATGAAAAATCACAGAGGTAGTTTAAGACTCTTTAAAATCTTATTTTCCTCCAGAGAAGATTTAAGTTTATTTCTCTCAGTCAGCTGGGATAAAAGTAATATCAATCTCAGATAATTTAAACAATCATGGATTGAGATAATTCTAGGTCAGACTTCTTTCCTTTGAGGGTTAAGGTGTAGAATTCTGAAGTAATAACCTATAGCTGACTACAAGAGCTCCTCCTTCTTGGTAGGTCCTAAATTCCAATTTTATTCTCGAAGACCAATCAGTCTGTCAAAACTTTTGTTTTAGCCTTTTAGACTCTCAGATAATTTCTCTGTGATCCAGGGAGAAAAGGGCACTAAATGCCAGTTCCATCTTCTTGGACTTCCCTTTTCTGTTGACTCTTGGCCAAGAAATTCCTCATTGTACTGGTACTTTCCAGCTTTTAAGCAGATTTTTAAAATATATTTTGTCCTTTTTTTCTAGTTGTTTTCATAGGAGAGTTTGGTCTAGAACACTTAGTCCTTTACTGTCAGAAATACAATTCCTTTATTACCTCCCTTTTTGCTTCTAATTTCCCCTAAAGAAAACATTTCAGGAGATGTGGAATGGTCAACATGGTACTGATTTATCTAACCATGAAGCTGACCATTAGTTCTGCTACCTACCTCCATAACCTTTGCATTTGCTCTGCTTACTACCAGTTCCTAAATGAACTATAAACAGGGAGTAAAACTAAGATATTTTATCTTCTGTGATCACAAAGACGATGGCTCTCCCTTGTGAAGCTGAATAATTGAATTATCCCTTGCTACAACTGCAGATGGAATAGTGCATAAGAAAGATCGTTAACTTATAGAGCTAGAAGGAAACAAAGATCAAGTCTAGCCCCATTTTCTACTTGGAAGAAACTCAATCTCGGGGAAACAGATGACCCAGCTTAAGGTCACACAGTGAATTATTGCAGGGTGAGACTATAAATCAGTCACTCTGCTCACACCACTACTGTTTTTAGTGCAGTATAATGCCTTTAGCTCCAAGCCATCCTGACCACTATTTCTTTTTATTCTGGATTGTGTAAACTCCCATATTTTTAACAGGGGATTTAGGGTCTTAGTAAAAATCCTAGTTTATATGGTTGGGTGTGATTTGGAGTTTCCTGTCTCATTTCAGCTCTCCCATAGATAGCATTTTAATTAGATGACATGTATTTTAAATGTACTTCAAGCTCATCAGTGAAGGAAGAAATCAGCAGAACCTGTAATTTCTGTCATTTTTGTGGCAGGGAAGGATGGATGTTTACATGATAAAATGACCTATTGTTAACTGAGTGTTTACAGTTCTGCTACGGATTTGCTATAAGATTTTGGGTAAGTCACTTTACCATTCTGAATCTTCATTTCCTCATTTTTAAAAGTAGGGAGACAGACTAGATCAGTGGCTCTCAAACCTGACTGCATATTGGAAATATCTGAAGAACTTATAAATAAAATATACCCATACCTGGGCCTTACCACCAGAGATTTGGGTTTTACTGGTGTGGGTGGGGCCCGGACATGTGTATTATTTAAATGCTCTTAAGATATTTTTAATATGCAGCCTATGTTGAGAATCCCTGTACCAGATGATCACTAATGTTCTTTACAAGCCTTAAACTATGACTGTATGAGAAATCTATATAATTACATGCATATTTACAATCACACACATTAAGATATTCCATTCCAAATTGCTTGCTAAAGAGGCACCTTAACAAAGCAATGAGTTACCGCAAGAAAATATAACAAAGACATAGTCATCTTAAACATGACAAAGTATTTTCTGACTAGCCAGTTCTAAAATAACACAACATGATGCAACCTGGGGTGACGTAAAGGAAGGTATACATTTCTAGGGTTCACAGTTTAACCAGAATCTCATTCTTCCGTGAGGTCTAGGACATAGGTGAAATTTGTTACTCTTACTGGTGTCAAAAAACTAGAAAGACGGACTTAGTGGTAGTAACTTTTATTTGCAAAATGGTACTTACTTCAGAGAGGCAAAGGAAGGAACCGCGCTTATCATCCCCGTCTCTGCCATCTCGATGGCATGTTTTATTTCCAGCTTTTTATACAAAGACACAATGCTTGACTTGGGTTGGTTTTCCCGAATCAAAAGCTTCCGCAGGTATTTGTCATCGAACTTCTTAAACCTGGAAATAAAGAAAATCCAAGCTTCAGTTAATTAATACTACATTGACCAGAAAAACAAAACAAAACAAAACAAAAAACACAAGCCTGTTTTTACCATCATTTCTACCACACCCAGGGAAAAACTGAGTAGTAGTGTTTTGCTTGTCTGCTCAATATATATATTTTTATATGTGCATACCTGAATATATGTGTATATAAAATATATGTGTATATAAATGATACTACTGGTACATTTTTGTATATAGCCATGATATACATATATCTAATAATCCACTAATTATAGATTAAAATATGTATATTTTTAACATTTGCAATTTTGCTGCTTCTCTTTTCAGCGACATTACTCAAAAGTGTTAATACTTGGGGCATCAGGGGGGATCAGTCAGTTAAGTGTCTGCCTTCGGCTCAGGTCATGATCCCAGGGTCCTGGGATCGAGCCCCACATCGGGCTCCCTGCTAGGTGGGGAGCCTGCTTCTCCCTCTGCCTCTGCCTCTCTCTCTCTGACTCTCTTGAATAAATAAATAAAACATTAAAAAAAAAAAAA